TCTCCATGTTTTACTCAAAAGGTAGGTTAGACATCGAAAACTGGTTAGCAAATGATCTATGACTTATTTAAGCTGTTAGAACAATAAAAGTAAAAAACAAATTTCTAACATTTTGGCGTTTCATTTCAGCCAATGTACTGTACTTGCTATATGGAGCACTGAGTGCCTTTCTCCATCAAACACGGAAATTGGCATTTAACATTAATATAAATAACACTTAATATTTGATAAAAATAAATGACATTAAACGTTAAACCGTTTGATATCCATCTTCTATCATGGTTTTATATATCCACATATGACTCTTACTTCCTCCTTATTTTTCAGTTTTTTTTTCAATCGCATTTGCATTTACATTTTTTGTAAGAAAATCTCTTAAATCCTATACAAAATATCGTTTGCTTTTTTTTACCTCGTTTATTATCTATATCAAAGCAATACTGAAATATATTGTGGATTTTATTGGAACATCTGATCATTTTCCTATCTAATATACGTCTTGAAACATCAGGATCAAAGACGAAATCGAAAGGCGAAATGCACAAGCATACATCTCCACTCTCCTGCGGCTAAACTGCCAAGCTTCTATTATGCGTATTAGTCTGGATGCTGGTCACATTTGAGTGAACTTGCGAGATCCCTTCGGCGAGCTGACGGATTGCTATGTTTATTGGATCGTTGAAACCGAATTTGAATGTCACCAGGCTGAATTCCTGGTCAATTTTTTTTTATTAACAAATTAATTGTTTAAACGGCCATATCTTGTAAAATATTAAAGATGGATTAAAACAATTTGTTTTTATTTTGTTTGTCTTTAAAAAACAAAAAGATTGAAGTATATTAATTGAAAATCTATCCACTTGCAAAAAGTTGTGCAATAATTAGTGCAAAATTACTAGAAATACGTCCTTTTTTATCTTTCAATCTCTGTGACTTGGCTCGTATTAGTGCGATCGAGCTCATTGACATCTCATCTCAATGGTAATAACTTACACAATGATGTAGAATAATTTTTATGTTCGTAAAATTTTTAATAATGCAGTTTGTAGACGTTTATAAACTTAATTTTATGGCTCTGACGTACTTTCCATTTGTTTATAAGCGTTTTTCGCTGAGATAAATTATTGGAACAAAGTGGGAACTCAGTTCAAATGAAAGTACAATTAAAAACAAAAATTTTAAGCTATTTTGGAAGGTAATCGGTCAAGTACATGCCAAGTTACAACCTTCCAACAGTTCATGTTGCCTCAGTGCGTCAAGCGATCGCTCGTTTCTACGCCCAAACTTCGAAAACTGTTACTTGGCGCTAACTTGACTGCTTACCTTTCAAAATAGCTTAAAATTTTTGTTTTTAATTGTACTTTCATTTGAACTGAGTTCCCACTTTGTTCCAATAATTTATCTCAGCGAAAAACGCTTATAAACAAATGGAAAGTACGTCAGAGCCATAAAATTACGTTTATAAACGTCTACAAACTGCATTATAGAAAATTTTACGAACATAAAAATTATTCTACATCATTGTGTAAGTTATTACCATTGAGATGAGATGTCGATGAGCTCGATCGCACTAATACGAGCCAAGTTACAGAGATTGAAAGATAAAAAAGGACATATTTCTAGTAATTTTGCACTAATTATTGCACAACTTTTTGCAAGTGGATAGATTTTCAATTAATATACTTTAATCTTTTTGTTTTTTAAAGACAAATAAAATAAAAACAAATTGTTTTGATCTATCTTCAATATTTTACAAGATATGGCCGTTTAAACAATTAATATGTTAATAAAAAAAAATTGACCAGGAATTCGGCCTGGCGACATTCAAATTCGGTTTCAACGATCCAAGAAACATAGCAATCCGTCAACTCGCTGAAGGGATCTCGCAAGTTCACTCATATGTTACCAGCGCCCGGACTCTATGATGAAGTCCAAGTGCGAGAAATGTTTATTCATGCAAGTCTCAGACTAAAAAAAAAAAATCTTTTACACCTACTAGTCAAATTTGGGATGGAAAAAATCGAAACTTTTCCTATGTCATGCCTAAGTCCGAATTTACACCTAGAGCACCGATCGTGTCACCCGAAAAGATGATCTTTCGAAAAAACGTTGACTTCCTCAAGAAAAGTCATCGCCGAGTACTTACTCATTCCTACTACCCCATCGTGCCACCTGGAGAAATTATACCTTGCGAAAAAACGACCTCCTCGGGGAAAGTCATCGTCAAGGACGTACTCATACCTAGTGCCCCGTTGCGTCACACGGAGAGATAATTTTACGCAAAAACGTCGACTTCCAGCGGTAAGCTAGGTAAGGTAGCTATGCCCATCTATGCGTTAGACGTGAACATACCCGCATCTGCTTTTTAAATTACTATATAACACATCGACGGAGTATATAGCTCGTGAACATAGCCAATGGTCTGAACCACTTTTTGATCTCAACACTTTTTAGCAGGTAAGAATTTTAGCGAAGTTTATTTTTTGTTTGCTATAGAATGTCATTTATCCGACCGACACCACTGTTGTTGCACTAGTCAAGATATCGAATCGTAAGTTTCAACATTTTAAACATACTTTTATTTAAATAAATTAATAATTAGAATATTATTGCAATGATTTTTTTTGTTCAGCAGTGATGATTCCGTCGGAGAAATTTACATACTCTGCACTAAAAAGTAAAATTCGCCCAAAAAAGAGTGAAATGTTCACTTTACTCTATTCAAAAGTAAAAATTAGCGAGATTTTACTTTTGGGGGGGGGGGGGGGGACTATGACTAAAAAGAGTAAAATAGGCTTTTCTTATTTTTCAAGTGAAGAATCTGCTGAAGCGCTGTCTCAAAATTCAAATATATTTCCCAAAAAAGTAGATTTATTTAACTGGCGCATAATAATATGATTTAGTCCCTAGATTTTTCTTCGAATAAAGAAATAATCATGTAAATTAAAGATTATTTATACCTTCACTATTTTTGAATCGTAAGTTACTTTTCCATACACGCATTTTCAGTTTGATATTCATTCAGATAATATAAGCTAACCATGACATATCTACTTCGTAATGTTACTTGTAATTATCTATATTATTTTATAATACAATATTAATAATCAAGAAGCTCGTTGAGAGTGGAACGATCGATTTTTTTTCAAATTTCTTCGAGCAGTGAGAAGCTGAGGATAAAGTGTTGAATAATTTACTAAACTATTTTCACTTCATGCTTGTAATAATAATATCGCAATTCTACTACGTTATAATCTTTGTGCTACGTGATTGATAAACATTGAATCTTGAATAGTTGATGATATTTAATTATTTGATTAATATGTATCTCTTAGTAATAGTTAGTTTGTACGCTGCTTGTTTTTCCGTTAAATCAAAAATATGAATGTGAGTACATTATTTACTGCTTCGATTATTAGGTATGTTACTTATGGAATTTTATTCATTATCTCTTTCAGCTTTCGTACATGAGCTGTGACGAGATAAAACTATTTACTCGGACAAGGAATAGACGCCGATATTGCCGAAATATTTCGAGAAATATGCGTCGCAAGTAGCGTACAGGTTCATTATTACAAGAAATATTACGAAGTAGATCTATCATATTTAGCTTATATTATCTGAAAGAATAGCAACCTTAAGATGCGTGTATGCAAAAGTAACTTACGATTCAAAAATAGTGAAGGTATGAATAATCTACAATTTATATGATTATTTCACCATTCGAAGAAAAATCTAGGGACTAAATCATATTTTTATGTGCCAGTTAAATATATCTACTACTTTGGGAGAAATATTTGAATTTTGAGACAGCGCTTCAGCAGATTCTTCACTTGAAAAATAAGAAAAGCCTATTTTACTCTTTTTAGTCATAGTTCCGCCCCCCCCCCCCCCCAAAAAAAAANNNTGAACATTTCACTCTTTTTTGGGCGAATTTTACTTTGTAGGGCCGAGTATGTTAATTTCTCCCACGGGATCTCCACTGCTGAAAAAGAAAACAAAACATTGCAATAATATTCTAATTATTAATTTATTTAAATAAAAGTATGTTTAAAATGTTGAAACTTACGATTCGATATCTTGATTAGTGCAACAGCAGTTGTGTCGGTCGGATAAATGATATTCTATAGCAAACCAGAAAATGACCGGTCTTATCTAGCTTTTCTTTCACTCCCTCTTGCATTGCCTTGCCTGATGCATAAGACAATTTGAACGTGTGCATGTTGGCTGCTACAACCTTAATATTGCGTGTGTGAAATCAGTTTTTCAAAGTTAATATTAAAAAAGTGTGCTTAAAAGTTTTCCAGTTTGATACAACCAAAAGGTTTACTCTAAAGAGATATTTCAAAGGAGCTACTACAGACTAAGTTTGGTACAAAATTGTACATCTCATACGTTCAGATAAGAACGAAGCAGTATGGATGCGCACATGTGTAGGTGAGCACAGCGCAGTATGAGAGAGAGAGAGAGAGCACGCATAAGCAAGTGAAGCTCGGTTTCAGTGAGATGATAGCTTCTACGTACTGTTTTTTGGCATGTGCATATAATATGTAGAAAATAAATGAAGAAATTGGTTTTCGTGAAAAATCATTATACGAGAGGTAGGCACAACAATTGTAATAAACAGATGAGCGTATAATGAATGGCGCATAGAAATGCATTCTTCAAGTTAACAAGAGTTGCAAGCATTATGCATTAATGCATATAGGAACAGTACATAAGCTGGGCAAATATCAAGTTCGAGGCAGATCGGATATCACAGTTGAGTACGGCAGAGCTATGCCAAGATGCATAAGACTTCCAACTATTGTCATGAACGAAACTCTGCCCGATCATAATTATAACTACCGAGTGAAAAGTACAAGTGCTCTCGAGGAGCCACTCGTAGCGTCATTTATTTCGATCTCGAACTGAACGCTTATGTATCGACTATATCGCAGCAAGTATATTATAGTAATGTAGTAAGCATTTATATGGTAAACTGTTGTACGCACCTGTACATATGGTGGTAGTCATTAAGGCGCATTATATGATTTTTGTATACGCAATGAGCTGACAAGTTTTTCGGTGCATATATGCATAAGAGTACATCTGCAAAAATATTTGTTTACCAGGAAAGTTCATTATGACGGAACAAAGCTTAACGAGAATGTAAGAAGTGTTAAATTCTTGCATTAAGATCGAGCACAAGGTAATTTTGAAAGCGTTGTTCATTCTGTAAAAAAAGGAGTCTTTTAAATTAAGTAAATCTTCTCAGTAAATGCTTATTTCTACTCACTCTAACTAGCAAAACTCCTTTTCACATCGTAGGCTGGAAATCCACGTCACTGTTTTTCTGATGCTTGAAATAAGAGTGGAGCTATTTTTTTATTTGTGCTAGTCTCTCTTCTTTTTGGCCCATCGGTCTTGAAAAAAAATAAACATGCAAGCCCAACAAAAGTGGACTGCTGGATCTGCATAAGATATTTTGCCACGCAAACAAGAAGTTGCTGCAATTAAAAAATACACATACTTATTATGCACTGTCCCTGAAAAAATTAAGAGTATTTTAGCAAATTATTCTCACACCTGTGCATTTAAAAGCACAGGTACTAGGTATAGAGATATTAAGAAAGAGAGACCTTGATCAGGTTCCCCGAGCGATAGATACAGGACACAAAAATTATCGTAGAGAGCTCTTTTTTTTTAAATTATATATTTTTTTTCAGTAATATTTAGTGTTACGCTCAAGTACTACTGGTAACTCGATATTGACTCCAACCTAATCATATTATACATGAATTTGAAGAGGACTAGATTTTCAAAAAATTAAAAAAAAATCGTGTTGATACGATAAATATAGCCCAAGATAGAAGCATTTGAAAATCGACCAAATTTCGATGGAATCGCGATAATTTTGTTGAAATAGTGTAGTAAATACAATTGATAAAATTCAAATAAAGAATGAAAATATTTTAGTGCAACATTATTCATTTGTTTTATCTAGTCGGCTATATTAAAAACAGAATTCATTGAAAGTTTGAATATGCCGCATATATATGCGTGCTGAGCAGTTATTACAACTGTTTAGCGCAGTGAATAGACCTTAGCCAGATTTTTACACAACCCTGTCAGCCAGAGTCCTGCCAAGCAGAAATATGCGCGAAGGATGTGCGCCAAAGCATAAACATCAATCTCGTACTTACGCATCCGAAGCCCGGGAAAACTTGGTAGAGACCCCACACTGATTGCGCTAAGGAGAAAGACCCACCAACACTCCTTCCCCTTCTCCGATCGTTTCATCTCTCTCTCTACCTTTTAAGGCTGCTTGTTTACGCTGAAACATACAATTAAAGAAAGCCGTGTCTAAATGACTAATAATGATACTCAATTTACATTAGTTACATCAGTCAATTTACCGAATCCGGGTAAATCGCTAATTGCATACAAGCATATGTTAAGTTGATTTGTGTTTTTTTCTCACCGCTGTGTAATTTTCCAAATATTTCACTCATTGTAAAGGTAAAGTATGTTTATATATAATTAAACACTGGCTAACTGTTAGTTTGAAATGTTTACAAATGCGTATTTTTTCGTTCTTTTTTATGATTGGCACGATAGGAGATTGCCATTTCACTTGTTTTCACACGCTTGATGTTCCCTAAATATACCCGGGAAAACTGATAATCGAGTCCGTATACGCGCAAAAAACGCCGCAGTGCGCGTGTATCGTGACACGAGCTGAAGAACGCGCGCCCTATGACTAGCTTTTTTTACCGCGCACGCGCCTTAAAGTTTGCAGGAAACTTGCATTCGCATCCTTCTTCCGGTCTGTTTACGTCCTTCTCGCTGGTGACACAAAATGGCGGTTGTCATGTACTCGTACAAAGGAGATGCTAGACCGCACGGAGACAAGCAAGGGCCCGCGTTTCTTTTCATAAATTTACGTTCGCGCAAGAACTCTAAAATGGCACGTATACTCGATACGTTTGACTCGCGACAAGATGTGTTTTACTCTACGACTCGAGAGATAAACCAGTAAAAGTACTTACTCGTAGCTGTCTCCTTTTTACGACATGGTAACTCTATGGCTCAAAACGTCGATGGCACTCTAATTTTTTTCAATTATTATTTTTTGTACGCAACACCTTTATTTTGCACAAAGCAATTCACTGCTCTCACTTCCTTACGGGCTTAAGGCCGATAACCTGTTGCAGAGAATATTATTCGAGTAAGCGCAATGAATGCGAAAGAAGCAGGATTATAAAAAAGTTATAGAGGCACCGTTTTTATTTTATAAAATAAACACTTTTTGTTATTAACTTGAGACGCGAGAATAGCTATAAAATTATAAATGTGTACTGAAAGCTAGAAAATAAAAGTCGCAGTCTTGTGTAGATACGAGTGTACTCGCCCAAGGACTGGCTCAAAGTGACTATGCGCAGCGTTAAGGTAGTAAAATTTCGCCCTCAAAAAGTTTAGGTCTGTTCCAAGCGCTACGCATTACCATCTATAGCATAATGAGCGGCAAAATTGAATATGAAACTAGCGAATTACTTCGCTCGCTCACGATAGTCAGGGTTTTGTAAGAATTTTTGAGAAAGCAAGAAATATAAAATAGGTTTCCACAAGGTATATACCAGGTATATAGAATGTATATACCTTGTACAATGTACATACCTTGTAAATACAAGGTATTTATTATATTCCTTGTAAATACAAGGTATTTGATATATATATACCTTGTAAAATATAATAAGTTTTTTTTTTGTTTTAGTCAACGATTTTCCAGATTTTTTGGGGAGGCCAGAACTTTTAGCGCGAGACTCATTCAACGCGTAATATATAGATATCTGATTCGGAAAAGAATGGAATAAATATGAATTGAATATTATTTATACATTTTTAAATTTAACCAATTGTGATCTAAACACAAAGTGAAATAAAAATTTTTTTCTTAATTGAGTACTTTTTTAAAATCATTATTGTATGATACATTTATATCGCAATATTCAACTAATTGATTCCTCAAAATATTCTTTCTCGTCCAGTCATTAAATTGGTTAATGCAAAAAAATATAAATGAATTATTATCTAGAAAAAAAATCATAATTTTATTATTTATATCGTTTAAAATTGATACGATTAGAGTCTTTTATGTTACGTTGAAATAGTGTTTTTTAGCGTCGTTTGATTGATTTTTTTTGTCTGCCTCAGTTTACATAGCAAAAACAATGAATTTGCCAACGAAAAGTGACAGAGGGCTCACTTCTGCAGATTTGACTGATACCCGAAATCAAAAATTTATATTTTCTTACGTTACATCAATTTCTCTATAGTTTGTCAAACCTAAGGAATAAGGAAATAGATTCAAACACCTGATATCATAATTTTATGCTAACTATAGTTCTAAAGAGAAAGACATCTATTTTTTGGTAAGTACCTGTGTTGAAATTCGTCGTATGGGTCGTCTTAATCGAGTTGAGTGTTACCTGGTTATTCCTGGTCAACGATTATTTCGAAATATTTATTCATGCAAGTCTCAGACTAAAAAAAAATCTTTTAATCTTTATTTACCTATAAACCAATGAGATTGTAGCAACTTACACGCTCACAACTAAATTGTCTTATGCATTAAGCAAGGCAATGCAGGGGGAGGGGGGAGAGTGAAAAAAAGCCGATCGGCACAGGGCTGGTCATCTTCTGCTTTGCTATAGAATGTCATTTGTCCGACCGACACCACTGTTGTTGCAACACTCAAGATGTCAAACTGCAAGATTCAACATTTTAAACATACTTTTATTTAAATAAATTAATAATTAGAATATTATTGCAATGATTTTTTTTGTTCAGCAGTGATGATTCCGTCGGAGAAATTTACATACTCTGCACTAAAAAGTAAAATTCGCCCAAAAAAGAGTGAAATGTTCACTTTACTCTATTCAAAAGTAAAAATTAGCGAGATTTTACTTTTGGGGGGGGGGGGGGGGGAACTA